ACTGACAGATGACAAAACTAAAATGATTGAATGAATTAATGAATGAAAATAATTCGTTTTGTCATCTGTCATTGCAGCAATGTCACTTGCACAGATATGGAATCACAGATGAGACCACAGATTAGAGAGTATGTCTAAAGGATCTAAAGGATGAGACTGTTGCGAATGCTTGTTGAATTGAATTAAAACGAATTAAAAGAAGAAGAAGAAATAAAACTATCGATTAATAACATTTTATGCTATTTCTAACGGATTCTGCTTGCGATTTGGGTAACTGACGACTTGATTTTGTATAAAAGTAACATTTTTTCTAGTTTTTTCTAATTTAGTTTTCTCGAGAATAACACTAGTTAGCAACCTCAAATAAACACAATAATAAACTAGTTTATGAAGGCATAAAAATGACATGAAATTTGTAGCTGTACAAATAACTTAGTACTGGGCCCAACGCTTCATAGAAAGTGGTTGTTCTCCTTTCTCAAATTCTTGCATCTTCATTTGTTTAGCATTAACAACATGTCACTTTTGTAGGTACACATTTTTTTTTTATTTCAGTCATCGAAAAAGTTCTTATTTAAATTTGAAAGTTTTTTTTACAATTATGTTTGTTTTTGGAAGTTCGATTTTCAAATCTATTTTTTTTTTTTGAATAGGGAATTCCCGAATCGGACCCAGGACCGGCGAGGTCCGACAACCGGCGAAGACTGCGCCGGCGCAGCTCAACCGGTACACGTTATGCAAGTAATCGAAGTAACATTACGTTTTTATCGGTTTATTGATAAAAAATAACTCATTCGTCAGTCAATGAAGTCTATGAAATAAACGTTAGACATTACCATGATTGCTCGTGCAGCTAATGCAGTGATTTATATGACTTCGAAGTGTGATATTTATGTATTACATAACAGTTATTGTGAAATTAAATACTTAGACCTCGGAGAAACTACACACAAAGTAATTAGGTACGAGTTCGTCACGATAAGTGATTTGATAAATAGGTATTAAACTAAGCATGTATAGGTACCTAAAATTAAATGTTTATTTTTTGTGAATTTTGTATTAAAATTACACTAATGAAAACTCACAGCTCTCTTTTCTTCATTTGAATTTAAAAATGTGCCCTGAAAAAATATTTGTCAATCATTATTTTGCGCCATCATGCCAAAGAAAATGGTATCCAACAAAGAGGATTCAATCGAAAGTGTTGCTGAATGGCTACCATTTTCGTTGCAATATTGTGTGCATTGTGTTTTCAGGTATTAGAATAGTCGTGATTTCGATTGAATCGGGCAAAAAGCTGATTTTACTGTCATTCTGTTAGGGTTGGCAACTTTAAGAAACTCTACATTTCTACTAAATGTTACCCGGTAAAATTTTTGATCACGCGAGTATGACTATGTTAAAATAAGCATTCCACTTTACAATTTGGATTACACATAACATGTTGTGTATGTGTATGCCTTTAATAGGTATATTATATTTTAAAAATATGAGGATTCCGGGTGAAGCTCGCTTCCACCTTCAGTCTGATCATCACTTACCATCAGGTGAGATACAGGCCAAGAGCTTCCTCGTTAAAGAAATGTGAACTTTTCAAATAGCTTAAGTATGCATGTACTGTTGGTGTACCTTTTCAAATAAAATAAAACACTAATTTGTTGCTGGATTTTCCATAATCAATTATGAATTCTCCAAAAATGTAATTAAAAAAACAGAATAATGATAAATACCGCTATATTTTGGCAATCAGTAACCCTATCCACGCGCACCGATATCAACTCGCGCGCATTTGACCAATACCGATACTTACGATACAATCAGTGCAACAAACTAAATAGACCGCGAACACACGAGCACATTTGCATTACTCGGTGGCCTTGACTGTACACTTTTTAGAGTTCCATCGTCTAATGGAAATTAGAAGGGCTCATCCCTAAGGCGTGTAGTGTTTGGATTTAAAGAGTTAACCAGATAAATACACTGTTTGAACTCTTTAACAGCCGCTTGTTTTTCAGCGAATCCTTAAGCATACGACTGCTGAAGTCCGCATGTACGAGGGCGGCACTGAAAATTTCGGGAATCAAGGAAGTGAAACAACATTACTATTTAAAAATGTATTTATTGCTTTTTAAAGTATTCTCCGCGAACTTTGACACATTTTTCCATACACGAAACCNAAGGGTGCGATATTATGTATTATCAGATATTGTGAAATTAAATACTTAGACCTCGGAGAAACTACACACAAAGTAATTAGGTACGAGTTCGTCACGATAACTGATTTGATAAATAGTTACTACCTATGTAAGTATAGGTACCTAAAATTAAATGTTTATTTTTTGAGAATTTTGTATTAAAATTATACTAATGAAAAATCACAGCTCTCTTTTCATCATTTGAATTTAAAAATGTGCCCTGAAAAAATATTTGTCAATCATTATTTTGCGCCATCATGCCAAAGAAAATGGTATCCAACAAAGAGGATTCAATCGAAAGTGTTGCTGAATGGCTACCATTTTCGTTGCAATATTGTGTGCATTGTGTTTTCAGGTATTAGAATAGTCGTGATTTCGATTGAATCGGGCAAAAAGCTGATTTTACTGTCATTCTGTTAGGGTTGGCAACTTTAAGAAACTCTACATTTCTACTAAATGTTACCCGGTAAAATATTTGATCACGCGAGTATGACTATGTTAAAATAAGCATTCCACTTTACAATTTGGATTACACATAACATGTTGTGTATGTGTATGCCTTTAATAGGTATATTATATTTTAAAAATAATTCCGGGTGAAGCTCGCTTCCACCTTCAGTCTGATCATCACTTACCATCAGGTGAGATACAGGCCAAGAGCTTCCTCGTTAAAGAAATGTGAACTTTTCAAATAGCGTAAGTATGCATGTACTGTTGGTGTACCTTTTCAAATAAAATAAAACACTAATTTGTTGCTGGATTTTCCATAGTCAATTCTTAATTCTCCAAAAATTTAAATAAAATAATAGAATAATGATAAATACATTATCATACCGCTGTAATTCGGCAATCGGTAACCCTATCCACGCGCACCGATATCAACTCGCGCGCATTTGACCAATACCGATACTTACGATACAATCAGTGCAACAAACTAAATAGACCGCGAACACACGAGCACATTTGCTTAACTCAGTGGCCTTGACTGTACACTTTTTAGAGTTCCATCGTCAAATAGAAATTAGAAGGGATCCCTCCTTAAGGCGTGTGTAGGTTCTGGACTTAAAGTTAACCAGATAAATACACTGTTTGTACTCTTCGCTCTCTCTTCTCTAGCTTCTACCTTCGGCCTGATCATCACTTACCATCAGGTGAAATACAGGCCAAGAACTTCCTCGTTGTGGATAAAAAAAAACTCTTAACAGCGGCTTGTTTTTCAACGAATTCTTAAGCATATGACTGCTGAAGTCCGCATGTACAACCATCACAGACTATCATAAATTCAGGCAAGACCTACCTGCTGTAGTTTGCGGACTAGTCTACGTTAAAGTATAGAAAATGTATGTGTATCTAGGAATGAATTGAATCCCAATCTCGTAAGCAATGAGATCAGAGGCATGCGTTCAACTGTTATAAAATATTCCAAACCGTAGGAATTTCGTAATGTCATCCTAGTTTAATGGTTCACAAAAACGGCCGAATTGCCATTCTAATGGGTGTAATAATGTGAAATATGCGCTGTTAAATTTGCCCAATTCCTTTTGTTTAACATAAATTTTCACATATTTTTTCCAGTTTTTTATATTTTTACGTAATTTTAATTGCCGTATCACTGTCACAGTGATGCAATGTTTTTCTCCAAAAAAAGCTAAATAAGGTAACTTAGTTTGTCCATTAATAGAATTCTATTACGTTTTTTATATCTCGTAAAAGAATAAAAGTTAGCGGATCGATTGGGCAGTGGGCAGTGGCATCGACCTCGTATTGCGCAACGCCTGGCCAGCAGGGCTACTCCGAAGCTGTTTACGTAGTTTCAGATCTATCTGTTACCGTCGCTCATGCGGCATCTGAGAGGGATGACAACATTCGAAACTTCGGATAACGTTTTTCAGAATAACCCCGCAGCCTCGGTGCATTCGACACACGGCCAGCCAGCTCGGTGACGAATCGAATAATCGAGCGATTATTGTATCGATATAGTCGAACAGAATAACGTTTATGACGAGTGACCAATCAGGAATGTCTAATGACAAAATGATACGTCTAAGGTTAATACGTTTAACATAACGGATAGGTATTTACAGTGCTTTATGACTCTACATTTTTGCTTTAGATTTCTTTTTTCTTATGTAGTCGCCTCGCCAGTCTGTATAAAGGCAACCGTTATTTACTCTACAGATTGCACTGAAAGGCATGAAAATAGTTATTATATTGTAGGCATTCGCTCAGAAAGGATAATCCAGCCTAAAACCTCTCAGGGAAATATGGGGTCCAAATTATTACCACGGGGCGAAAATCTAGTAACTTATTAGGTACAAATTCATATGACTCAAAGCTACGATAGGTTCATCGCATAAAAGGTCGATAAAAGTCGATAAAAGTCTACAAAGTTGAAGCAACTTTGTATGGTGGGTGATAGTGTTTTACAAGAGTGACCTCCATTTCAAAATGACTCATGAATTCCGAGATATTATAAGAAATATTAGTGGTTTGTTCGTCACGTTCTTAGGATAAGAAAAAACGAAGCGTCACAAGAACATGCTCTACTTTACGAGTTGGGTGTTATCGATTAAAGAATACACTCACAACATTGTAATAAGAAACAGCTTTTCTTAGCTTAGTAGACCGAGTTATTTGTTAAAAAAATACCTTAATACCTCCACATTCCATAACTTTAAGCAAAAAGGTTATTCCATTAAGTTAACGACGGGAGCGATAGTGATATAACCGGACGGACGTAAGCACGTGCTTCGCATCGCAAGCTTTCTACTTTTTATGGCGAATTTAAATTAGCCGGAAGCTCACCTGAGTGACCTGCCTCTGTGGTGGATCAGCGCGGTTGTGATGTCATAGATGATTTATCTGGAAAGAGAGTTTTGAATAAGTATTGGGTAGAGATAGAGAAAACAAAAAAAATCTGTCTTTTTTAAAATTGCTAGTCTTTTTTGGTTTGCACATAGGTTATATTCCGTTAAGGCCTCCGAATTACCCAAATTACATACATGATTGTGTCAGGAGGAGTAGAGTCAAAACAAACTTTTTCAATGGTCGACCGTCAACATAAATGGAATTGCGTCATCACGAATTGGTAGTACGATGCAAAAACCAAAAGTATGCTATTGTTAACTAAACTTATCTACATGCCCATATAAAAACAACATGGCTGGGAATTATTTAACCATTTACAAACCCCACATAAAAGAAAGACCTCTGAAAGACAAATGCCAAAATGTTTCAACTTGTTTTATGTTATGATTTCAGTTTCGCCAAGTTCTAAAATAGCTCTAACGACTTTCGTGCTGCTAAACGTGTTTGGAACCTGTAATTTTAATCCAAATTATAAAGTTTAGCAAAGATGTTGCGAAATACAGTTTGAACTTTGACTTTGAACAATATTTCCAAATAAAAACTTAAATGTATAAATAACTTTTGAGCGCCAATTAATAAATATTGCCTTGTAAGATTGAAAATTTTGATTAGGTAAGTACTTATATTAAACGGGAATAGGTTCTTTATAACTCTTTCATTACATTAAAATGTAATTGCAATTAATGTTTACTTTCTCATTAAGTTTTATAATAATTTCACATTTTATGTTATGATCGTAGTAAACAGGTAAAAGTTAATAATTTGTGTTGATGATAGTATGTAAAATATATAAGTACATATCATATTTATAGCCTAAGTTTAATGATCGAACATGTGTAACATACGATAATGTGCTCTTTCGTTACTTATTTTAGACTTTATAAAGCCAGGTATCCAGCGCGTGTTTTGCCCTACACAATCAACAAAACCATATCAACATTCAGCATTTCTTGCAGGCAATTTTGTTGAATGTTGACATGATTTTGTGGATTGTGTAGGGAAAAATACGCTATAACAGACCCTGATTTAATACATGCACTTGTAGAGATGCGCATGTAGCAATCTCATGTTCATTGTTTGACTCTACAGTCGTGCTGATAAAATACTTTTTGTCCAGCTCAACAACAATGGCCGCCGTACCCTCATTCGAAAGGTCAGCTGGTATCCAGTGCTATTTCTGACAGGCCACGCCTGCAAGTCTGTGGACTGTGGCAAAGGAATAGCATGCTGTGATGCTATCGCTCGGAGCTTCATTAAATTATGGGCTATAAAGGTTTAATATCTTGGATACTTTTTGCTAAGCTCTTCGTTTGTTTTTAGATCGTCTGATGTTTATTTGCAGATTTTTTTTTCAATTTACATCTGATACTGGCCACACACAATCTATGTAAATTGTGCCATTCTAAATTGGTGTTTTCCTTCGGATTGTAACACACAATGTGTTGTGTAATAAAGTTTATTTAGTATCCTATGTATTTTTTTAAATGAGTAGATTATGGTATACCAAATGCAATATGACTGTCTTTGTACGTGCAATTAAAAATCAATCAGGAAGAAGTAAACCATAATTAAAACGGTCGAAAGGCCTTTGCGTGCTATCATTAGCAAGTAGATACAGTCAACCATAAAGTTAATGTTAACAGATTGATGCTTTCTTTAAACCCATAACATAAATAAATAAATATCTTTAGACAATTTCACACAGCGCTATCTAGCCCCAAAGTAAGCAATTAAACATAAAAAGTGCCAATAAAAAACCAACGAAATACATAAATTATATCGACAAGGTTACTTGACCGGTACTAGAGTACTGCATGTGGGTCATGTCCATTGCTTTACTATTGTGTGTCGTTTGTACATTACAAAAGGGTTAAAAAAACTATAAATTAAAATAACCTTTTCTTTAGATACTTGTAAAACAACAGACTAGTACAAATACCCTTCAAGCCATCTACATCTATGTATCTGCAATTTATCTGTGAAATATTAAAAAAAAACTGCTCCACTTTTAAAATTAAAATTTAAAGCGCTGTTCTACTTTGACCAATTATTCGTGGCCGACTGTACTTTCTACAATCGTCGGTCAAGTGGGCAACTAGATGCAGTACCTTCACGCTTGGTGGAGTAATGGTGGAGCCACAGTGTAGGGCTACCACCTCTTTAGAGACAGAAATAAATAAAAAAGAGTAGGAAATCTTATGCAGTTGTAATTGGTGCTATTTTGGAATAAAAATATTATTTAGTCTGATGTGCGTGCTGCTGTTTATACTTACTTTTTATTGTGAGAAGAAAGTTACCTAACAAAAGATGGACAAAGAAATTGAGTACTAGGTCAAAGTTGTGATAGGTTGTGAAAGGTGATATACAGGCCAAGAGCTTCCTCGTTGTGGATAAAAACAAGATTAAAGTTCGGTATTTTAAAGGGACTTTTTTTCTATTTTTATAGACGCAGAGAATGGGTGTAATATTTAGTGCCATGTTTACGTAACATAATATTTATAGACAAAATAAATAACTGATAAAAGGAAACCCTGTCAAAACGTCACAGCCAAATAAAAACTAGTCTATGTAATAAGCATGATCGCGGCAATTTGCCTTTTTAGATAGACATAGAAAATTAAAATGACACAATTGAGACGGTTTTGTCGCTAGGACACGATCTCTTCCAGACGACCTAGAGAAAGTAGTTAAGAATTGTTAATAAAATAAGATTTTGTCAAGTGGCAGCCCTAAGACAGACCCTATTGCTACCAGCCCACTCACTTCAGCGCGATCAGTCGTGGTCGTGGCTCCTCGCCTACATTTTGCAACAATTAACCACTTACTGCTTTTTGCTGGTTTCCTAGTGGTCGATGTTACATAGTTTCTCGTAATGTAGTCACTGATGTACCAATTGCATACATACCCATGGGTGTAAAAAATCGGGGCTATTTCGGAATTTAATAAAGCCGTTGCATGTAAAACTGCTGAAGCGAAATAAGTGGGTGAGTAGAGTTCGAAAGCTTATTAGCGAAGTTACAGAATTTAAGTTATAGTTGTTGCAATTCACAAAGGCATGATCATGTGTGTGGCATATACATGTGTGGTGGCTTTGTTCGTTTTTAAAAGTTTTGATAGACATTACACTATCGTTATGTGCATGTACACAAGTAAAGCTCACTCGCCTTCGTGAGTTGCAAGAAATAATATGACTGTAAATATGTATTAACGTGATTTTATGCTTCGTAGAGTGTTATTATTATGTTATCTGTGGTAAGGTCCTACTTTTAGGCCAGTGCAGTTGAACCGACATGGCTCAATCAAGGCACCAAGTCTTGGGGCCTCATTTGATACAAGTCTCATGATATAAGTATTATTAGTACTTACTTGTAACACATGTACATAAATAAGACGTGTGTTACAAATATTGCCGAGTCTACATCTCAGTATGGTAGTTATGTAATGGAATTGTATTACCATGACTCATAAAATATTATTAACTGCTTGCCTAAATACTTAAATGATTACTGACAACCTAATAATTAACGCTTATTGAATTTCGCCACACTGACCTTAATCAGTCAATCATGAAAGTGGTCATCATCTGTAATTATTACTTATTAGTTTTTATCATTATAAATCAGTATCGTGTGCTACATACTCGTACATATAAAATCATCAACAATACTCGTATGTATGACATCAGATCTGTTTAAACATTTTACACAATAACGCGAATATTAACGAACTACTAAGTGCTAAGTGGTCAATAAGGCTTATTTTATGAGGAATAATATTCGATTTCCCGACACAGTCAATAATATTGTAACTATTGTAGAATAGAGAAATAATATGTACAAAAATATATTGGTAGCAGATTTAGAAAGGGAGAATATTCGATCAGTTACGTGCTTTTGTAGCACTTAGGACTCTTATCAAAACATTATACAACAATTAATTGTCTTATCAGACGTATCGCTGACAAGGTGGTACAATTTGTTCATTGCCCGATTACCTACCTTATCAAGTTAGGAACGTTGACAACAACTTTGTTAATTCTAATAAGTTTTTATCAGTAGGTTATGAATTCGGAATGGACCTAATTTAATTAGCCCTTATTAAATGTACTTTTGCGAATCAAAATTATCTTGGTACACTAATAACATACTCTACTTCTGCTATCTATTGTAAATATTTACCGTGTTCATTTATTAATCCACACATTACGGAAATCTTTGTAAAACAGAATAATAAAGTTCCAATCGAGAATAATAATTATACCTTTGCTTAATTCCGAAAAAACCTTACTGCTACGACATGGCTACGACTAGCAGCTTAGCTGTCCTAATATAATGGTCAATGATTGAAAAATAAGGTTTCCTCCTTCCACTCGTAAGTCTGACGTGAGAGGGTTAAAATGGTCTAGCTGAACCATTATCATCATTAAGTCCTGGTTCAATAAAAAAGGAAATCTAGACTCTATCATGCATGTTTGTTACTGTGAATATATACCCCACCATTATCACTATTTAGTCGACGTGGAAAACGACGTTGTTGAAATCTAACTAGACTCTATTTTTAGGGTTTGTAGGTAACAGTAGGTAATTAGTATGTTACCCATCAGATGATGGGTAACATACTAATTTATTTTGTAATTGATGTAATGTAAACACGCTACCCAATTAAAGTATCTAGGATCCGTAGCACGGTGTGATATTTCTCATACAGCCTGTATTATGTAACCAACACTACTGACGCAGTACAGGTAATTAAGATATGCGTGCACCAGCCTATGTAAGGCTCTATTTACATAGTTTAGATGACGTAAGACTTGTATTTTGTACAATTTTAACAAGATAAGTTAGACACAGATCTATTAATGACTAAAGTTGTATGTTTGAACGAATATACAACGTCGCGGAGCGCCCTCTACCATGGTACAGCGTAAATATTCGCAAAGTTACAATAATGGCTGGAAAATAACCAAGTGGATTTTATGATTAAAAAGATCAATG